GAATTTGATTTTATAATTTCAAGTATTGCTTTCAAGAAGAGTTTATACAATTATATTTGACCAAATAGTTTTGGATAAAAATAACCTAATTACTGATTGAAATATAAGTAATTAGTATTTGAACTTTACTACCTTTCAGACCATATAATTATTACAAGTAATGTTAATGTTAATGGTAGTTAATAATTTTAAGAATATATATTATGTATCACTGCTGTTAAATATTAACAGCATTTAATATGATGTTAGCTTAATCCTGGCCCGTCTCACTGCAATTTATTTTGATATTAATTATTAGGAAACTAAATGAAATTATTCCCGGGAACATAGAGTTAAGGAGAAAAAATATCACTCAAGTTATCAAACCTTACTTTGTGGTCATGCTCTTGAACGAAATCAAAGAGAGTAAAAATTTTCTTTACTGAAAATCGGTAAAATTTGTAAAGGAAGTGAATGGACCACATTTTTCGTTTGTCCATTTTCTGTAAAAACATAAAGTATAAATGGTTTAGCGATTCAGGAGAATACGATATATAACTGGATACATGCAAGGATACATGCGCTTTATTGATAGTTATACTTAACACAAGGCATACTGAAAATTTAAATCGAATGCAATGCCGAAATCGTAATGAATTCGTGGTAGCAGTATGTCTTCAGCTTTATGAGGTCCATCAATATAATCATGAATTCAACTACTTGTAGCGCACTATTGCATAATTCGATTAATTCGTATTTCAGAGTAAGTAAAAAGTATCTATTTTCAATTTTCAAATTTAGAATGAGTGATATCTGAAAATTTCGAGTAAATTCAGAAATTCTATTAAAAGATCCCTACTTAATCTTGATTCATCATAAATTCAATTAACGTATTCACCAGCGATTCCGTTTATAATGATGTTACTGCTAGCATGAGGGTTTACAATTTTGCCACTTAATCATGCTTAAAAATTCTTCTTTTGAAATAACGATTTTGTAGAAATTGATTGAATATATTTTCAGTATTAAATTTACTCACAATTTATTTAAAAAAATATATATCATCACATTTTATATATGCACTTCAATGGTATAATTACTGTGATACATTTTCTCTGCATTGACTTTTACTTTAATTACAGTACATTCTGTCAAGAAACTGTAAATTCGTTGTATGATTTCTAGGTACTTAATATATTTTACATCAAACGACCAGAAATAGTAATATGTTGAAGTGAGAAAATGAGACATATATAGACATTTCTCAGATATAATTGATTGTACTTAAATCTCGCAAAACTCTTGCAGTTTCTTGTTCCGTATATAACAAGAAATACATATGCATTTCATATATAACATGTATAATTTAAACAAAAAACAGAACTTTAAAAAAACAACAAACTTTACCACAATACACATGCCAAGAATCATATTAATTGTGTAAGTTTCTATTTATTTTCATTTAAATAGGAAAATCTCTTTTAAAATGTTCTACCAATCATTGGCTTATCACCATTTGCCGCCCTATCGTCCTACCTTTAACATAAAATTAACTTTTCAACTTAATGGGAAAACAACAAACAGAGAAAAAGGTAAAGCAAACCTTTACCTTTACTCGAAAGTAGAAAAACAAACAATTATTAAAAAAGTGTCGATGTAAAAGAATACTTTTGAAATATTTAATATCCCAAAGTGATGTCCTAGTCCAAGGGCCCCCGTCCAAGTATACAAGTAATAATTACAAATCAAAATACAAAGCAAACAGAAAAAAGGTCGTAATCACCTATGAAAACAATGGCAATAAGTGAACACAAACACAAAGCCACACACAATAAGGACTGACAGGCTGGCTGACAGACTGGCAGGGTTGCCACTGTGCACGGTACTAGCAAATGTGAATGTGTGTTTGTGAAACTGTTGAAAACTTTTGTCATTTACACAAATACAAGTTAGTCGATAACCACAAAGTGGATTACAGAATAGGTTCGGTTAAATTCATGTAGTACAAGGTTTGACTATTTTGGAAAGTCAAAAAAGTATATAAGTCTGTAATAAAAACAGATTAAAGACATTAAATAAATTAATTTAAATTTGAATCTATTTGAAAAGAAACTGTATCTGGCAATCTAATCTCGACTAAAAACAAATATATTTTTGATACTTTGAATATATAGAAAAAATATCACTCTGCTTTCGACACATTTAGTATATAGTATATCTAAACTATTTAGCTGAATTATTTATCTATACTGCTATTAAATAAGTTATAAGATCTCGATGTAATTATAATAATCTATTTACATCACTATAACTCATTTCATCTGGTATATATACAACTGATCTGCATATAAACAACAACCTTAGATCAAAAATGGAATTTACTCATTTAGTTTAGTAAGTAGGTAGATGGTAATATTATCTGCTTTAATTTGAGAAAGATTTCAGATTGGAAACACTTAAGAATTTTTTGGGTTTATTGAAAAATTAATAGAACAAATACAGGCCACATCAATTTGCGTAAATTCTGGTCTAACTAAACTCCTCGTCTCAGTAATTTATTGCCCTCCTAAATTTAATATTAATTCTGATCAGTTCCGGAATTTTTTTAATTATCTCGGTCCTTTCTAGTTGCTGGGGATTTTAATGCTAAACACACCTTTTGTGGTTCTATACTGATATCTCCAAGAGGTTGTCAACTGTATTCAGCACTTGGCAACAGCTTTGATCTTGTGTCCTCGGGTCACCCAACATACTGGCCATCAGATAATCGAAAAACACCAGACTTAATCGATTTAGCAGTCATTAATGGTATAAGTTATTTCAACTCTGACAAAATTTAATACAAACTCAAAAGATCAGAATAAGAAAACTCTTATAAAGTGGAGGATTTATATATATATCATTAATGAGGAAATAAGTAATAACTCAAATTTTAGATCACCCAAAGAAATTGATAAAGCATGTCATAACTTCACCAAGACATCAAATAATGCTGTAATTAAAGCCTCTTAAACAAAAAGGTCAGTCCAGTCAAATATAGTATTTCAATCACACATTGATTATCTTATTTTCTGAAAACGTCAAGCCGAGCGAGAAAGACTTCGATCACCCACCTCAAAACAAAGATTAAATAAAGCTTCAAAATTTCTTAAAAAAACACTATCTGATGACAAAAAGCGCGCTTTACAAAAATATCTCGAGGCTCTTGGTCCATCTAAAAAAAACAACTATTTTTTGTGGAAGGTTACAAAGAAATTTAAAACGCCAATATAAAATGACCCACCGCCTAGAAAATTGGATGGTTCTTGGGATCGCAATGACGAAAAAAAAGGTTGTATTTTAGAAAAACACCTAAAGGGCGCCTTTCAGCCAAACCCACAAATAACAGATTTTCAACTAAATATTGAATCTCCTTCTACTGTTGAAATTCCCCTTACGTTGTGTTTGGATGACGTCAAGGAAACTATCCGAACATTTGCAAATATAAAAAAGGCACCTGGATACGACAATATTACGGGTAAAATGATACAAGAATTGCCTGATTTAGCAATATCCTTTCTAACGGTGATATTTAACAGCATCCTCGCTTTTGGCTACTACCCGAAGCAATGGAAAGTTTCAGAAATAAAAATGATTCCAAAAGCAGGAAAAGACTTAATTTTGGTATCATCATACAGACCTATGTTATTAGTTTTTTGTCCCAGTTATCCAAAATTTTTGAGAAAATGCTGCTGTCATATATTAAGCCAATAATAACTCAAAACAATGTGATACTAAAGCATCAATTTGGATTTCGAACCGGACATGGCACTATTGAGCAAGTTCACAGAATTGCTAAAGATATTTATACTGTCTTTCAGCACAAAAAATACTGTTCTGCCGCTTTCTTGGACATAGCCTAACATATAAAATAAAGTATTACTTTCCTGAAAATATGCATCAGCTATTGTATTCATATATATCCTCTAGAAAATTTAGAGGATATCTCTCTTGAAATGATTTCGACATAATCGACATAATGGCTGGTGTTCCTGTATATTATCTACACAACTGATGTCCCACTACTCTCAAATCATGTACTTGCTACTTTCGCGGATGACACTGCAATTCTCAGTTCTAACAATGATTACATGAGGTCATCCCAAAGTCTCTCGACTCATTTAAGTCTATTGAAGAAGTGACTAGCAAAATGGCAGATAATAGTAAACGAAATGAAAAGTGTACATGTCCCGTTTATTCTACGAAAAGAAACGTGCCCCCTGTTAAGTTGAATAACATCATTATACACCAGTCACATGATGTAAAATATCTTGGCATTCATCTTGATAGAAGGCTAACTTGGACTAAGCACATTGAAAGCAAAAAAATTCAAATAAAATTGAAATCACAGCAGCTGCATTGGCTTATTAATAAAAACTCTAAGCTAAGTCTGGAAAATAAAGTCCTGGTATATAATTCAATCTTAAAACCCATCTGGTTCTATGGCATAGAACAAGCATAAAAGCATGTGCTTTTAATATCGAAAAAATACAGAGTTCAAAACAAATTACTTAGACAAATAACCGGCGCTCCTTTGTATCTCAAAAATGTACATATCCACAACGATCTCGGAATCCCAACTGTCATTAGACGTCATTAGAACATGCGGCCAAAAATATAAAGTGAAACTTCACTAGCATAGTAATCCGATAGCGCAACAGTTGCTTTCTGATACCACAATATCTAGACTTTCTTTCCTTTGCTATAAATTTTGATATAACATATATAATCCATTGCATTTTATTATAAAGGTTAGATTCCTTTTTTGCACCTGCTTAATTGCATTATGTTTAGTTTTTAAGATACATAATTAAAAATAAAATAATATAAAAAAAAATTTTTACTTTAGAATTCAAATCAATCTGGAAATTACTATTGAATAGTTCATTACACGAATTATATGTATGGTCATGTACACATTTTATTTAACATTTTAATATAACATTTAAATACTTTTTGGTACGTGTAGTTAATAAACTCACCTATTTCGATGTATTTTTGATGCATGGGATCATAATTATCCCATGTGATAGATCGGAATCGGCTACGTTCCTTCGACGCTGGAAGAAAATCCTGTCTGTGATGCTCGTTTGGATTGCTACAAAGAAAATTTTCAATTGTAAAAAATTAAATTTTGTATTCGTTGGCCTATTTTTATTTCTTATAACCACTACGCTATATTAAAGTTGTTATCCTACTTCAATTTGTAATAGTTCTATATACACCATTTTAAATTATTATTAATTACTATTTTTAACAGAATATAATGTCAATGAATATCCTACAATAGTGCTGGGATAGCACTTAAACCTCTTCTACTTTATTTGTGACTAGTGATTTTCAAAAATTTAATTTATCTTCCTATGAGCCTTATCGAATTTCAAGTATAAATACTTTGTGAATTCATCCCAAAGATTCCATAAAAATTTTAATCTGTATCCAATTTTAATTCGAGATTCTAATTAAATATGGCACAAGAGCCTTTTCTAGTCATGGTTAACCATTCTGCCTTGGATTATAATAATATCCTATCCAACACTTTCAACTATTAACCGAATCGTAATAGTTACAATATTAAAATGTTTTAACAAATTGGTTGCATTAAAGTTATACGTAATAAATAATATTAATAGTATTTTCCTATTTAATTATTCTCAATATTTTTATAATATAACGTACAAATTATAATTGTGTTTATATATCTTTTGTGTAAGCATTTTTTGAAAGTAATATTACCATATCATGCCATATAGGGTTAATGAATATTTGCTTTTTATCCTAATTAAATTTATGTCACACGATAAAAGAGCAATTAATAAAATTATATTTACCCTTTTCTTGCAAAACTTGTCCAGAATATTATAACGGCTTCAGAGAGTGCAATTTCAGATTTGGTATAGTTTTGTGGAAAATGACTAAAGCCATCAACTAATGGTGCACCAAATAAATATGGTAAGTCCTCGCCATGCACAGTACCCATACGCTGTGGATAATCACCGTCCTTTGTTTGGTAATCGAACACATAAAAGTAACAGCGCCCTGTTGGTGGGGCTATCGAGTCGCCATCTTTGGTAGAAGGACTTTGAGTATTAGACATAGGCGCCGGTGCTTGTGCTGCAAGTATGTCACCAGTGCGAATAATTGGTGCCACAAACTGTGCATCAGATAATGCAGCGACAGCAGTGTCTCGTGTGTTTATTGGATGTTGCGACGTGCGATCCCAATCGGTATATTCATTCACAATCTGCAATAATAGAAATGCTTTTAATCCATTTGGCTTCACCCGTAAATATATACAGAAATCACGCAAATGTTATATAATGAATTTGAAATAACTGACATGAAAATATAAATATTGTGTTGTATAAATGTTTTGTGGGTTATTTATCTGTCCACAGTTCTGGTTAGCACCATTTTTACAGCCGAAAAAATGACAAAAACCACTGCGATAAACGCAACAAATATCTACTACACTTTTCGTATTGCTGTATGCACAAATTTTTGCGGTAATAAAAGAACTGCTTGTAATAAAAATAAAAATGCCAATAAACATAATCATGAAAAATGATATCCTTTCTAGTCTATATAGTCTACATGTGCCTACATAGCACATACATGGAACATGGATCACGATGTATATCACGCTGTGGGTGCGTGTCCTTGCATGAGTGTTGAATTGCGTATGAATATATAAATTTCAGCATATGACTGTTGTTCTCAAGTGTGAAAATATCACACGCATTCTCGTTTCTGCACAGTCACTACCGAGCACATTTTGCGGTGCAATCGCTAATACACTCGTACGGATTTGGGTTAAGTGTAAGCTATTACCTACGTATTTCAAGGCACACATAGACACTAAGCATGTATCTTGCCAAACAAGTGCAACAATAAATTGGCAAGGACATTAAAACAGAAAATGTGTTAATGTTCCAGCAAAAATGGCGTGTTTACTGCCATTGCAGAAACACAATAAAATTGTTGTTAATATAGGCATTCTTCAACCACTCAAGTGTTAACAAGCAACAATGTATATGAAGGATATATTAGCTGAGACACATAAACGTTTATGTTTACGCATATGCATAAATTTCACTTTTTATAGATACACTAACATATGAGTATTATTCGCAAACAGAGCAATCTACGAGATGAAAGGTTAAATTAATTTTCTCGAAATTGTTATTTTTGACATATACCTATTACAGTAATACCTTTAGTTCACTTAAAACTATTTTCGCCAACACTATTTTTGTCTCTAATGATGTAAAATAATACTGTATTAAAATATATGTATATCTTTTTGAAATAAAAGATATTTTCTTTTTAATATAAATGTTTATATATGATAGTCCGAATATTTAATTAAGTTAAGGCTATTATTAGACTTATAACTATTTATTATTGTCAAAAAGTTTTTGAATTTTTATTTTGCTGGCAAATTGTAAGGACTTAAAGTTTTTATTGTCACGAACTTCATATTTCAAAATCACAATTTTTTACTCTATTTATTTTGTGTGGAAACTAGTAGCGCAGATGCCTTAATTTCAAACTTTTCAAATTTATCAACATACAACAATTGTAAAAACTTGGGAAAGTACTTCTACTAACTTTCCAGCAACTAAATTGTAAGCAAGTTTACGACCAAAATCGGGTTATTATGATTTAATGCTAATTTGCCAAAAAATTTAGTTCACATCCTCTGGAAATCTTTTATTTTGTTATAAATTTCAAACTGAAATGTATTAAAAGGATTAAATTTGTTATATATTTTTCTAGTTTTTTCTGAAAAGAAAAGTTTTGAAAGGATTAGTGTGTTGTTACCTTGTGAAAAGTTTCGTAAATACTTATACTATATATAAATTAATATGAATTATTAAGTATTCTAAAATTCAAATAAGTTTGAGATTAATACAGAAATGTAGTGTAAGTCGATTAGTCTCAAAAGAGAGTCGTATTAGGGGCAGTGAAACTGAAAAAAAATATTTTTCGGAACTTCGGAAAAATACATAAATATTTATATACATAAATATTTAGTTTAATTAAATATATATAAAATATAGGTAGTTATTGGTAGACATCAAGCTGTCAGGTATATATCTCTTGGCTCATATTGGTACCAGTTACAGATTAAATATAGTACAGAGTAGAATGTCTATTAATGTCTGCATATGCTTTTAATAGGCGTAAGAGCATATATTTAATAAGAATAATGTTTCATAAGAGATTTTATGTAGGCATTACATAGCACATATTTTAGAGTTTCATTTGTTTCAGGAATGTTTAAGTTTTTGAACCTTTAATTTGTTGCCATCTCTGGAACGTGTGTTCTTAAGAAATAATGTCATGTTAGTGCACCAATTATTACTAATATAAATGCTAGTATTACTTTTGTACTTCACAATTTAAAAGAAGTGTCCAAATCAAACTGTAAGATCCATTAAAATGCTTAGAGTCATTTATATGTTATAGTTAGAAAGCATGAAGTTAGAAACCATAATGGCATTCTTACATTTTGAATAGAGTAAAAATAATTAACTTTGACTAAACCACACATTTGCGATATCATATCATACCTTTATGCTACTGAATTTCAAACACACGTTGACTAAAATTATGTAAACAAAGTTTGAATAATATCTTATAAATAACGTAAAAAGTGAAACTCTATGGTAAGTTACGGAACTACTCGTAACTAAGGCAGTAAGTTTATTTATTTAAGTTGGTAATATTATACCAAGTACTAGAAAAAAGATTATTGTACTATAAATGATCAGTTTATAATGTAATTCAAATATATACATATCATATAGGTATATACTTATGTACTTCACTGTTTTTATATATCATTACTTAGTTTAAAATAAAAGAATCATATCATTACTCAATACTTTTTAGGTTTGGTAAACTCACATCAAATAGTAGACGAAGAGATAGATTTTTGTACTATAGGGTAAGTCGTTTTAATATTTTATTATTATTATTGGGAAAAGCGATAGTGCACTGCGACCTAAAAGATCTATTGTGCCAGATTAGAGTGTTTCTCCAAGCTCAAATTCTTTAATGAAAACCTGTATAGAGTTTGTCTTTCCTAATCTAGAATCTTCACAATCCATGAAATACCCTCCTAGGTATGTCTTCCGTTTCGGTATCATTGTCGGGCACTCCCCATGCACGTGGAGTATGCAGTTTCTCTGTCTTCTCTACAATATCTGCTGTCTGAGTTGGATTAGAGTGTTTCTCCAAGCTCGATTTTTTTAATGAAAAACAGTATAGAGCTTATCTTTCCTAGTCTAGAACCTTTATAATCCATGAAATAATCTTCTAGGTGTTTTCTCTGTTTCGGCATCATTGCCGGGCACTCCCCAACCACGTGATATGCAGTTTCTCTCTCTTCTCTACAGTATCTGCAGTCTGAGTTGGATTGAATTCGTTAGGTGATTATTCAGTTTATAGTGACCACTCAATAATCACATAATAATTCTTAGGTCTTTAGGTCTCAGGTCTGTTCAGTAATTTGTATTATTAATCATTATTGTTATATTCTGTAATTATTAGTGTCTGATAAAGTCTTTCGTATATTGTATCTACCATTTAAATGACATGTATTGATAAACTTAATTCATATTTTGTTTATAAATTAAATATTTTGAGTATTTCAGTATTTTGAGTATTGAATTTGTTAGTGGCTTGCCACAGGAATGTAAGCACTGATGGATTTGTCAATTAATCAATTCACAGCAAGACTAAAAGTGATTTTTTATGCATCATAAGCGAAACCGCAACATTCATAAAAACCAACAAATGAAACCAAAAAGGACGACAATCTAGTACCACGTACACCCGTACATACTGTATCTACACATGAAGAGGAAGTAGCAATAGATACTAAAATGTATATGACTTGTTTCCTACCGCACACAACAGGCGCAACTGTGGCAAAGCAATATTATTTTTATTTTATTATGAACGGAAATTTATCAAATTTATCAAATTGATGGTGCAAATCGAATGTTATTTATGCATGCAATGTCCTTTTCATTTGCGCCTGAATGTGTTCGCAGTGGTGTATTCGAATGGGAGCGCTAGTAGGAAAAATGTTACTGACGTTCTGCTAAAAGTGATAAAAGATATTCGAGGGAATATCCGCCCTCTTTCTAGCAATGCTTATACGCTCCTTCAAATTGATACATTTGATAAGAAAAACTTTATTGTTTAGTAGTTACAAATCTCAGGCATACAAAAGAGTCGTAAGTCTTTTCGTAAGTCCTTTGTAGTCGTGGTATGGAAGCAGTTACCGTGACCGCCTATACTTTTTGCTAATATTTTTAATTAACTGTTAATTTATAAAGACGTTATGATTAATTACTCGATAATAACACAAAAAAACTAAAACTTTTATTTATAGGTAATAAATCAAAATATTAATATTAATGAGCTTCATTTTACAATACTACAAGCATTTTTGCTGCAAAATGACACGTGTTGTAAAATTCCTTTTGCTGACCATGAATATTTGCAAACTTTTCTGTGAGTTCAGCATTTTGAATGGAACGAGGTAGTGCGGTAGCAGGTAATAGGTAGTAAGTACTTATACATAATTTAAGTGCATTATTATTATTGATGAGGAGGCAAACAAATAAGGTATTACGGAACTTTTAAGCTCATTAAACAATTTTAATTAATATAGGTACATAGCAGGAGGTCAATATTGTTAAATGCTGGCCGAAAGAGCATACCATTAAAGATATGTAAAAAATTTCAGAAAACATCGTTAATAGTATCTATAGTATTCAAATTATTAATGAATTTTAAGATATCGGTTAA